AATACCCTTCTTAAATATGTTTCTACCAAGTAATATTTTTACAGCAAATCAGTAGTATCCAGGGAAACTTTTACTGACACATAAAGCTTTTGTGGAGCAAGATTGCTAGTTGAGATCCCAGAAACACGTGGCATATCATCCTGGCCAGTCAATCTGAGAAGCTGATTGTGATATTTTCCTTGGTCATGTGGGATTGTTTTGTTTCTTTCTTTATCTCCTGCAGTAATGGAGATATTGGGCATTCACCTTCACAGCCTCACTATTCTGTATTTCTGTATTTATCTGAATGTTGTGATTATTAAGTTTCTGTATTTATCTGTTGTGATTATTAAGGTTGGCTTAGGAATGACAAATTCCCTTTCTAGTTATAAATTTTAAAAGCATGTTAATTATGTCCTTGTTCATGTCAACATTTTAGATCTGGATACCCCTGACAAAGACTCCAAAGGGTATCAACTTTACTGTTCTTTTCATTCTACATGTTCCTCCTCTGGACTAAACAGTCTTCTCTAAATGGAGGAACATGCAACATGAACTCTCAGTTAACCTCATTAATATGAATAATTGAGAGATTGGTATTTGGATTTGGAACACATTATAAGATCCTGGGAAATAATTGTCACTACTTTTCTAGTAACATTTTTCTTAAACTTACATGAAAATGAATTTGTATTTCTCTACATATGTATAAACTGATGGCAAAAAGAACCATCTTGAAGGCAATCTTAGGGTAAGAGAAATCTGGATGGGATTTTAAGTTTCTTGCAAATAACCACAGAAGTAAGAAATTACATCACAATCATTAAGTACTATCACTAAGCTTGACTCAATTATAACTTCTAAAGTTTTCAAGTTCTCATACCTATGCCATCTTAAATATCTTATTCTCAAAGTCCATAGTGCAAAAACTGTACCTTTCAGCATTAAATACCTTTGTGATTAGTTCTCTTGAACTTTTAAGCATATACTTTATTAGAAATAACACAACAGGAGACCATGACATTGTCAGTAGTATAGCTATGAGGTGTAAAATTCTGTGGCTCAGCCGGACAACCTGGGTAATGACGACACTGTGTGAATCCACTGAGTTGTGTACTTTTCTGTAACTTTGTTATACCTAAGGTCACCTCAATCATGCTTAAAATTATTTCTAAATCAACTCAAACAAGTTATTCTCTCAACCTATCAAAGTTAACAATCCAAGTTTCTCTTTTGAGTTACTCAATTTAGGAACATTTATTGAAAACCTATTTACTAAGTAAAAGAAAGACATTTGGGGCATTAAGAGATTGAATGATAGTCCTTACTATTACTGAGAGAAAAACCTAAAGCTAATTTCTTTTACTTTCTTAAGAACTGATCAGTCTTTCATCCTACAAATATTTATCAAGCACATTCTATATGCCAGGTGCATAATCAGGAACTGGAAATTGAGTGCTGATTGAGAGGGAGCCATTCATTTTAACATTTCAGAAGAAAAAGCAAAGATGAAATAACTTCCTATGTTAAGCTAAAAAAGATGTCCTACCCCTCCCTGAATTCAATACCTTCAAATAGGTCATATAGACCACACTGCTTTCTAGAGAAGATGCAAATGTTTGTGCTGTGGTTTTAGCTTCTGCAGATTTTTCATGATTTTCCCACAAGAATATTGACCAAAACAGATTCTAATGGTTACATCATGAAATCGGTTTTCTATGAGGTGATAAGGGTGTTCATTTAATGAACAAATAGTACTTACAATGAAAAATATTGTTTGCTGAGCAATTTTGGAAAAAGTCTTAAGATATTTCCTTTTGGAAGAAGTTAATTGGGGATACAGGTGGAACTAGCAAAAAAAATGTCAGACACCTCTCTGGGTTTTCTTCTCAGATCTTGGCCCTATAGCTCTTCAGTACCTTAATGATTTTTTGAAGTATATAGATCCCCAGCTTTTCTAGTTCTTCTCAGTGGGATCATTGGTCCAATTTAACATAACTGAGAGTGATGCTTTCCTCCATCTCTTGAGTCTTCTCCTATCAGCCTCTTGCCCCCATCACTCTTCTAGAATTCTTTTGAAGATCACTAAGGACCTATGTTGCTGAAGCCTATGGTTTTTACTCTTCATTTTCATTAACCTATCAGCAGCACTTGGGCATATGATTACTTCCTCCTTGAAATATTTTCTTCTATTACCAAGAACACTTGTTTTTCTATTTCTCTGAATGCTCCTTCTCTGTTGCTGGTTCCTCTTCAGCTCCCCATCCTGTTAATAGCTCAAGTGCCCAGGGCTGTCATCAGACCTCTTCCTTATCTACACTCATACATGCTCAGAACTCAAATTTTATTTCCAGTTCTGACCTGTCTCCTGAACCTGAAAGGTATGTCTAGTTTCCCTTACTTCACATCTTCACTTGCATGTCTAACAGAAATCTCAAACTAAGCTTCTGACCCACTCACTTCCATCATCCCCAAACCTGTTCATTCTAGTTTTTTTTTCCCCAACTTAGCTAATGACAATTCATTTCTAGCTGCTCAAGTGAAATCTCATTCTTGACTTCTCACACTACACTACCAGCAAATCACTTGGGGACTATCTTCAAAATATGTCCAGAATTTCATCACTACTTCCACTGCTACTATCCTGGCCCCGAGTCTCTATATTTTGCCTAATTATTGCACTAGCCTCTTCATTGTTTCTATTCCTGCCCTTGTTCTCATTTTTTTCTCAGCACAGTAGCCAGAGTAATTGTTAAAACATAAATTCTATCACTTCGACCCTCTTCAAACCTTCCTTCCCACAGATAAAAACTATACTTAACCTGAAAGGTCCTATACAAAATAGCCCCTATTAACTTTTCTCCCTTGCTTACTCTGCTCTAGTCACAATGGCTCCTTCATCTCAGTTCACTGTTTCAAACAATGGAAGAGAGGCAACTAAAGTTGTAAAGACAAGCAGAGATGGAGACACAAGCCACATTAGGGATCTGTCATAATTCATTCACAATATTGACTATAATATACAAAGCCCTATCCTAGGTATTTGAGAGCAATTAGGTTAAAAAACTTGCTCTCCTGCGGTTTGCATTCTAGTGGGAGGTAGACAATAAACCAAACTATGATGTAACTGTATGACATAACATTATAGAAGCAAGAAAAAAGGACTGTTAAGGCAAGTAGTGGTTATTACAAAATTTAAATAGGGAACTCAAATGGCTATGGAAAGCAGAATTGTAGGCATTTCAATATATACATATAAAATTTTCTTTTTTGGACAAGATCATGCTAGGTGAGACAAGTGTAAATTTTCAGACTTTACTAATCTTCCCCCAAGATGTTAGAGTAGGAAGGCCCAACCATGTTAAATAGCTAACATTTTTTTTTCTGGGTTAAGCACTTTAAATACATTATCTCAAAAAAAACTGGGTAAAACTTTTAATCAATGATTTCAATGAAGATTTTTAGTTTATGTTGTGACAACTCCCATTTTAATGACTTATTACTCTGATAGCATTGGCCCATGTTATTATACCATGTAATCACTAGCACCTTTCCTTTTAAATTTGTATCAAATTATAGACTCTTCAATTTACTGCTTTGGTGGGTTTGCTTAGCCCAAACTAAGTTCTAGAAATGTGCAGTTACCAGAGCTCTATAATGAGTGCACAGATGAGCCCTAGATTGGATAGATACAGCTCACTGAAGACCAAACTATCTTTTAATTTCTGTGGTAGTACAAACTACTCTTGGAATGTAAGAGTAAACAAAATGTTTTCTAAACACCCCCCTCAGATGACTTTGCTAATTAACAGAGCTCCAAATTAATTTCAAACTTTAGTCACTAGCCCTATCCCTCAGCTTCTAGTTTTCATAAACACTTGTTACTTCTAATAGGATCCTAGAGTGTTCCCTTCCCTAGCCCCACAGGATACTGTTCTTACTTTTACATTCTAATGTTCCGTGTATTTTTGCAAGTAAACGATTACATGGTTCTGATTACAAATTTCATTTCTAAGGATAAAGCATTAATTGGAAATATCAAAAATGAAAAACTCAATCTTAAAAATAAACCTCTAATTTATAAATGCATACCAAGTTAGTAAAATTAGTTTAGAATTCGACGTCAGAACTTAACCGAAAATTGGTTTATATTCAGATTTTTCTCCCCATGCATTATACCATCACCACCACTCACAATTGAGCTTAAAGCCAAAACCAGTCTCTTTTCTACAAGGACCATGAAAACTTTAAATTTTCCATATAAAAATGTGTGAACAAGACTTAATTTGTATGAGGAATCTTAATATATACATTTTGAAGTCATCAAATGACTTTTTAAAAGAACTAGGTTGTCATGCTCTTTAATAATGTATACCTTTTCCTCACTGTGGCACACAGGAAAATAAATTTGTACATTAATCTTATTTGTGGTTGGGTTATCCGCAGTTAACTGTTGTCAAAAATATTAAATGCAAGGGATCCCCTGAAATGAGTGACCACATTCATATAACTTTTATTATAGTCTTAACTGTTCCATTTTCTTTATCTACTGTGACTTACAATTTTTTATCTATGGAAAAAACATAGTATATATAGTTTTTACTACCCATGGTTTCTCTCATTCACTAGGCCTCTTAGAACATTTCCCTCATAAATAAGGGGGAACTACCGTACTTTCTGCTGGCGAATATTAAAATCCTTGGACAAAGCTCCTCGTAGTGGAAACAGCTGGCCTAGGGATGCAGGCGGCTAGCTCTGCAGTTTGAGTTCTGCTCATTTATTGTTTAATAATTACTCCAAGAAAGGATTTTTTAAAAGAATTCTTTAACATGTTCACTTACATTTATACAATGCTGGAAATGACTGTTGACATTTTCACTATTACCATTCATTATCAAAGGAAGGCATAATATCAAAGTCAAACCTGAAACTATAGTCAATGTTAAATCATAAACTCAAAAAATACCATTTACAATTTAAGTACTCTCTTGTATAAAGCATCAAAAAGTTAATACAAGTACTAGTCTTAAGCAGTCAAACAAGTCTAAGCCACATTTATTTGCACATGTAGTAATGAGCAACATACTCCAAATTCATACAAATTTATAAAACAACAAGTTAATCACTTGGTACACTTGTGTTATCTTGTTTACAGATTCAAGTGTAGATGTACGTCCTTTATTTTGTAAACTTTCATACAATACTTAAACAAAAATTTTGACATATATTGGCATGGTTCAGTTAGAGCCAACACAAAAGTTAAGACAAGACCACAACTCAAAAACCAAGTTTAGAATATATTTTTCTACCTCCCTCCCCTGGAAAGAAGTGATTAACAAATGTATATGCTGTATCACACAAGAAACCATGGAGACAAAAGAATGATGCTCCCATAATTGTAAGAAAATGCCAACCAAAATCATACTGCTTCATCTACCCAATATACGGTGTAAATAAGAAACAAGAGGAAACGTTTAGATGAAAATAACAAGGGAGACTAGAAAAAATAGTAAATGATCTTAAAAACAAACTATGCCCTGCCCCCAATGCTGCAAATATTTGACAACTCGAAATAATTGTCTAAGGCAAATAAAAGTGAGGAAACCTTCAAAGACATTCTAATCACCTTCAGTATCTAGTGATAAAAGCTGAAAATGATATCAAGAAGGTACTATACAAGTGTCGAGGACATCCCAAAACTAATGAAAGAAACGCATTTATTTCTACAAAAGCAATGTATAATACAGAATTAGAAGGAAACAGACTTAAAGATTTACCTATTAAAATATACAGATTCTTACTGAAGAGTATAGGATATTTAAAAAAGATGACAAGGGATGTTAATCTTTTTTTATTATTATTATTTTTACATATTTTGGAACCTCACATAATTTTGATAAATAACTCTTACAAAATTATGCAAAAAGTACAAGAATGTCTGGTAAACAAACAGTCTGTATTTTCCAAAAAGATTTTTTACAACATGCAATTCTTAAGGCAGCATCCTCCTTACAAGGAAAGGTAATCCTTTTACTCATCAAGACATCTTCTGCTGCAAAGAATAGGCTAAGAAAGCCTGGCTTCTTCCATTAACGCCTTTTGTCTTTCCTGTCTGATTTTCGGTCTCTTTCACTTCTCGAAGATCTTTTGCCTGATCGACTACTCTCTGATATAGACCTCTTTCTGTCAGACCTGGAATTCTTATCCTTTGATCCTTTTGTATCTCTACTACTACCACCTTTTGAGGACTTGTGACTTCTTTCTAGTCCTGAAGTATCCCTTCGTTTCCGATCCACGCTCCTTCTGTGCTTTCTATCTCTATTATGTCCCCGGCCTCTACTCCGACTTCTACTCTCACTGGAACTAGTAGTGCTGCTGCTACTGTCTCTGCTGCTGCTGCCACTTGTACTGGAGCTGCTACTGGAACTACTTCGACTACTACTACTGCCACTGCTAGAACTGCTTCCACTGCTACTACTGGTTGAACTGCTACTAGAACTACTACTGCTGCTACTCCGACTTCTACTCTTGCTTGTTTTATTTCTAGCTCGACCTCTACTTCTGCTCCTAGTTTTGGTTTTGGATTTGCTCTCCGGAAGTACCGTCAAAACTGGCTCTATAGTCACCTCAGTGAGTTTTACAGATTCTATAGCAAATTCCTTCCTCTCAAGTAGTAAATGCCCTTGCTCCTGAATAACCTGAGGTGATGACTGTAAAACAGCTAATGGTAAAGTCTCAGGTTGAGAGAGAGGCTGGGGCTGGAGTACTGGTTGGGACTGAGATTGGGGCTGAGATTGGAACTGAGGCTGAGGCAGGGGCTGAGGCTGAGGCTGAGCCACAGTCTCAGGTTGTGGCTCAGATTCTTTCTCTTCTTTGTCCTCAGGCTCATTTTCCATTTCTAGAGCACTAGCACTCTCTTTTGCAGGAGAAAGAGATTTACATTCTTTATCTGGCTCAACTTCAAATTCCATTTCTTGCTCCAATTCTTTGTTAGTTTCATTTTCTGACGGTTCTACACTTTCAACTTGACTGGTTTCCATTACCTCTTGCTCAGCAATTACATTTTTGACACTCTCCACCATCTCTAGCACATCCATAACTTCCTCAGGCTGACTATCTTGCTGCTTCTCATTTTCCCTTATCTCAGTTTCCTCTTCCATCTTAACCTCCATTTCCTGTTTTTGTTCCTCCTCCTCCTGTTCCTTCTCTGCATCACTATGAACTATACTAATTTCTTTTTCCTCTTCCTCTCCTGCTTCCTCTATTTCTACATCATTGTGCTGATTACCTGTCTCCTCCAACTCTTCCTCTCGCTGAGCCACCTTACCCTCTTCTTGTTCCGCCTTCTGTTCTTCATTACGCACCACCTGATGTTCTTTTTCCTTCATTGATTGTCTTCTAGGCCTAGCCTCCATTTTATTTATTTGTTCTGCAAATTCGATGCGTCTACCTTCAAATAAAGCTAAAGAATAAAATTTTAGATGTGTAAAATATATTATGAGTAAGAAATCCAGTCACAATTTGAAACCTGGCTACAAAATGTCACTGAGCTTTATCTAAATGTCTTTTTCTAAAGAGATGACGACAAAAGACTGATTATGGCAAATAAGTAATTACCAATTGACATAAATTAACAAAAGCAATGATCTACTGGAAACCTATATATAAAAAAAATTAGTAGCAGGCAGAACTACCATATCTAAGTGATGGATAAAAAGGACAATCTTGCTACTTAACTTAATGCTAGTTGAAAAGAAACAAAACTTCTTTCAAACAAAATCAGTTTTATGATATAACATATATTAATTTTTCTGCTCCCAAGGAGAAATAAATCACCTAATCACCAATTTACGAGTGTCTACCCTTCAATGTGTGCTCCCTCTATGGATTACATTGACATTCACTTTTTCTTGCTTCATTAGCATTTATGTCTGGCTACTAAGAGTATCAAGCAAAAAGAAGTCATGTTACTCAAATACTTAAGAAATACACATGTATTAAGCATTGCCTACAAAAGTTTCCAGTTAAACTCCATCAGGAAACAAAGGCTCCTGCACTCCAAACTTATTAGCATCGTATTTCAAAAATCTACTATTAAATCACAACTATTATAGGCAGACAAATGTGTATGTGTGACTTTATCACCTTATTCATTAGGAAAACTGCAATTGACTTCTTCACGAACACTTACCATTCATTTTTCTCTGTGACTCTTCTATTAGTTTTTGGGTAGCTGGACACATTCTTCCAGGAATATAGAACAAGTGGGGCTTCGTCTTAGTTCTTATGTATTTAATTATCTTGGCATTATGCTCATTCCATTCTTCTTGCTAAGGAAAAGGTAAAGGTCAGCACTTCTGTAAACAGGAAGCATAACCAATCTTAGAATTCTAAAATACTACTCACCAGCTGCGCAAGCTCAACCTTCTGTTCCAAAAGCCGCAGTTCTGTCTGTTTAGCACGCCTCTCTTCAAATAGTTCTCTCCTCTCATTTTCAACCTGCTTTCTCTCTTCTTCTGCCTGTACTTCCAGTTTCTGTTCAATTTCCTGGCGTCTCTTTTGCTAAAGATAAGTAACGATCTTTACACATCCTGATTACATGAAACATTACAATTTTATTAAGTTATCTGCATGTGTTTCACATTTGCAATTCAGGATACCAACTACTTAAAACTTAGCACTTAGAATTTGAAGACTGCAATTTCTCTTTCAAGAAATGGGGGCTGCAGCTTTTCATGTAAAAATCTAAACTTTAAAGCCATAATATCAGTAACTGTTCCATTGCAACAGAACTTTTAGATAAGGTTCTTTCATAAATTAACCACAAAAGAGCACTTCAGTTACTCTTTTTAAATCAAAAAATTTGACAGAAGTGATGCTCTAATAAGTCATATTTTCCACCTATTTAAAAAAAATTACTCTTCACACATTAAAATGCCTTTAAGCCTTTTATATTCTCCAGTAAACACATAAAAGCTGAAATAAAAGTTTATTAATTTCCTATATACAAATTATCTCTTTTCCACTGTAGTTACCCCGAGAAGCAGTAACTTGGGTGTTCATCTTCACAGACATAACTTTGTACTTTTAACAAAAAACTTCAACAGTTAAACTGTGTAGGGCAATATTTATGCGTTTGCTTCTAGAGTGCTAAATATTTGCTCTGAATGTGTATCTAAGTCATAAAAATTAGAATTACTGAACTAGTAGCAATGATCAATGAGTTTAACTCACTTACTGAAGAAAAAGCACTCTGAGGCCTAAAGAAATAAAGGAACGTGTTCAAGACCACAAAACAAGATTGTTAATAGAGCTGACTTCAAAAAAAGACCAGTTAGTCTATGGCCATGCTACCCTGAACAAGCCCGATCCCGTCTGATCTCGGAAGCTAAGCAGGGTCAGGCCTGGTTAGTACTTGGATAGGAGACCATCTAGGAAGACCAGGTGCTGTAGGCGTAAAAAATAAAAAAATAAGGGATTGTAGGCTGACGAAATCCTTGCAATCTAAGGTCAACCAAGGGATGCCTCGCTTAAAAACAAAACAACAAAAGACCAGTTAAAAATTTAACTCCAGAAAAGTTTTTTAAGTTTTTCCTTGGCTTTATTTTAAGATTGCAATTAAGTATTAAGAGAGCTTTTCAGCTCTTTTTAAAAACATGTAGGCAACTACTCTGATAAGAAAGCAAAGAAATTGCATAAATACCCTTTCAGTAGCGACAGTAGATTCTTGTTTAAATTTCTGAAGAGTGCCCATCAACAAGCCAAATATTCGCCGGTTCCTAAAAAACAAAAAGAAAGATTCAGTTTCAATAGGATCCACTTCATCTAAACCTGCCATTTCTTAAAAAGAAACATACTATATGCACTTGGACAATTGCTTAAATTTTCTTAAAATTGCATTATTTGACAGGTTTCCCTCCCAGAAGTCAATAAAAATACCTTTGCTTTCCCTTTTCATCCATATTTTGATCCTGGATAAGGTCTCTCCGCGTGCGTTCTTTGGAGGTAGCTACAACTGAAGACTGCAAAGCTGGCTGCATAAGAAAAAGAAAATCTCCGTAATTTAACAAGTATACAAGAGGAACCCATTAAAATGTAGTAAGATGAAAATACTATATTCATCCTCTATGTTCTTTTAATCTCAATTACCTTTTTAACATCATCATCCTCTGGATCGCTTTCTTGGCGTGATTCTCTCCGTGTCCGACGCTCCCCGCCCAGCCTGTCATAGGAAAAATAATTTAAATGAGCACTACAGAATGTGACTTAAGTGCCTACCAAGGGCAAACGACTACTTTTTCGAGGACTCATTTCCAGAAATTTCATTGTCAGTTTACATCCCATTCTACGCTTTCCGCCAGTAGTGAAAAGATAAAATGTACCATCAATGCCCAATCCAGATTTTGATAGCCTTTAATCAATGCCCAATCCAGACTTTGATAGCCTTTATTTCTCAAGCTGGTTTTTATAGTACAAGACAGAAAAGTGACACATATTGACCATTTTCTTAACCTTATTCCTCTCATGACCCTTATTTTGGTAAAATTTCTGTTATTGTTAGTAAAGAACTCAGTTTTGAGGGATACTAGCTATCGGTTCAGTAAATACCAATAGATCAGACTCAGGGGAAGTGATACACTATCCGAGTCTAATATGACTCAACTCAACTGTGAATGAAGGGGCAACATAATAAACCCAACAAATTATCGAGGGACCACATGGCAGGTCCAACAAGCTCAGTGACCAAAAGTAACTACACAGGATGGTCTGATCATAAATTCCTAACCGGGCAGGCCATGACAGGTAATTATGTCCCAGGCCTACAGTTTCCTTAGCAAAGGTCAATCCTTACCTTAAGTGAGCTCTGTCCACTGCTCTTACTCACCTAGGATAACATACTTTTGAAATGTCAAAGTAATTTCCTAGACCCCTTGAAGGTACAACCACAGGCTCAAGAGCACAAGACCACAAAACCCCTCAGTGTTATCTTATTCCTTGCATACCATCTCTACTTACTGTAAACGTTAATTATTAACTAACCTATACTCACCAATGTGTCTCTTCATTCTCCTTTTTATTTAATCCTAGAGATTGCCCCACTTTGCTTTCTCCTATCTCCTTAACATCACCAATGGATTTCATGTAACCCTCCTTACATCTTCTCCTTTGATTCTAATGTATAAAATAAGCTGCAACACTGCCACTCTCCAAAGCATTTTCTTAATCTGCTAAAATTTTGGCTCAAACTTACAAAACTTTTCTATAGGCTGGACAGTCTTTCATTGACAAAACAATATTTATTAAATGTTTATATCTGTATGCTACCTTAGAAAATAGAACATATACACGTGCCTTCAAAATCTTTTTTTTCCAACATACCTACTGACTGCCCCTTCAAGGTCTCTCTGTTTGGCTGGGGGTCCTCCTCCACTATCTGAGAATCCACGCCTGTGATTAAAAATGTCCAACACAAAGCACTTGAAATGTAAGATAAATGGCATTTCCATTTAGCAAAAAAATTTAAAAATTTAAATATCCTTCCAATTAAAGCAACCTTCAATGGCCATTCACTCCAAGATGCTTTTATAGTATTTTTTAAAAACCCACATGAATAAATTTATACAAAACTACTATAGTTAATATATTCAAGCTCTAGTTTTACATGTAAATGAAGTTCCAGGATAACTATCCAGAAAATTACAACTGATTACAGCTTTAAACACAAACATTTCTAAGTGGTTCTACCACGAATTTTGTTTAAAATGGTACGTCAATTTAGTCTAAGCAGCACCAATAATCTTAATGTATGAAATAAGTCTCAAGGAAATCTTACCTCAGCAATAAACTACCACGTCCTCTACCTCCACCAGGACCAGAAAGGGCCAGCAATCTGGCTTGGATGGGCCTGTAAGATATTTACAAATCAGTACAAAAAGCATATGTGGACACATGTAATGGCATCAAATACGTTCACGAGTGCAGTGCATCATAGAGAAAATAACTAAAAAAGTTCTAAAAAGACGGATCAAATCCACGTGTTTGAAAAAGGTTAGAAAGTATTATTTAAGTTCTGTTTTTTCAAGACCAATATCACAGAAATTAGATTTATTTCGATGCCACTATACATTAACAAGCTTTGATCAGGTCTTAATTTCGCCAACCCGAAGGAAGCTGCACGTGGGCAAGAGCCTTGGGGCGAAGCGGCGAACCGAGTCCCAGGAGTGTCTCCTGGCCAGCCGTTGGAGGGGGAAGGGGCTTTGTGCTGCAGTTCCGGGCCCGCAGAGCCGAAGGCGGGAATCCGCAGACGGGGCCTTCCCACAGACCGGGAAGGAGTCCCGACGCACCCAGGCCCCGCTCTCCTTCCTCACGAACCTGAGCCCGGGGACCTACGGTGGGGCCTTGGAGACTCCCCACCTCACCGAGAACCGGGTTCTACTGCCGGCTCGGGAGCAAGCCTCGATGTTCCAGCCTTATCAAAGCTGGTCGCCCTCCCCGCCCCCAATTCACCCCGACTTGATGACTGCTTCTCGGAGCCAGCATTTCCCATCCAGCCTTTACCTCACGTCATTCGGATCCCTCCCGGTGAGCTTGCGAATATTCTCATCCACGTTCTTTAGGCTCTCTTTGGCCTTTTCTAGCTGCTCCTGCAAAGTTCTCACTGCGACCGCCATCTTCTCCCTGCAGCAGGCTTCGAGACTGCTCCACAGGCCGCGCCTGGCCGTACCGCGCCGCCGGACGCGAGGACTGACAGCTGGCCTCAGCCAATGACGATGGGCGTTGTTTTTCGGCTTCAACCACTCAGCAACCGGAAGGGGGAGAACCTGCCAACCCTTGTGCCTCCCGGCCAATGAAAAGTCCGTCAGGCGGCCACTTCCCTCCCCAGTTAGCTGCGTGTGGCCCGGCTCCGATTCTAGCGCAGAGGCGGGGCGGGTTTGTGAGTCCTTGGGTCCTCGGAGACGCGGGCTCATGGGCCTGCTCCTCCGGCAAGGAGCGCGGAGTTTTGCAACTCTTTTAGCCTATGCTATGACGTGACTTACGTCATTTTAACCACCTAATCACATCAGAGTGAGAAGGAGGCGAGTCTGTTCTCCCCCTGCCCATCCATCAGAGAAGGTGGCGAGTTTATCCCCCTCTCCCCCCAGTAAATGATTAGATTAGGAAAGGGTGCGGCCATTCTGTTGGTGCGCATGCCCAGGGAGTGTGTGTGTGTGTGGGGGGGGGTGCGAGCTTCTACTAGGTTAAACCAAAATGAGCAGAAGGAAGCAAAGAATGAAGGAACAGGAAGTGATTAATCGTAATAGTTATTTTAGGGACACTGAAACGCTTTACATGCCTATCCCTGTCAAGAGCTTGAATAAAATGCCTGTTTTTACTGATAAGGAAATTGAGTCTGGGGGTACTGCAGCTGTCCCTACGTCTTGCCAGTCTAGAGTCACCATCGGATCAGACCCTGTGCGAGGATGTACTAGAAGAGAAAAGCAATGATGAGACAGACAAGGCAGGCATTCTCTACATCTGGCCTAGAGTTGGTTCGTTTAAGATGGGGTTGCTGGGTCAGCGTTATTGTGTGTATGAGAGTATTGTCCAACTTCTGGTTCCGCTGTACCTGCACTGCCAACATGGGAACCAGTTTTATTCCAGAAATGTATCTGCAAATTATAGCCCAGAAAGCATGTTCCTACAGAAACAATATTATGAATAACCTTTGGATTCTCATTTCCATCTGTCAGCCAAGCATCCTCCTTAACACCAAGGATTAGCAGGCTAATTTACCATTTTAATTCGCCCAACCACCTTTATATATAAATATACATATATTTTTTAAAGAATTGAGCAAGACACCAAAATATGGCAGAAAAGAATAGCTTTATTAGAAGAGAAAGTAAAGCAACAGAACACTTCAGACGTGGAAGCGGGCCTGAGCAAGAGAAGAACAGCTCAAAAGGCTCAAGGGCTCAAAGGCCACTCAATCACCTTTAAATCGCCTGTGTATGAGCAGTATCTCCTTTATCTGAGGATAAAGCCTAGAACAAGCTAGCTATGGTTCCTGCTTCCCTGGAGTTTATAAGCTCCTCAGGAAACAAAGATTATTCATGTACTCATTCATTCAAAAAATATTTATTGAGTAAAAAATGTGTTTTACTCCTGTTAATCTATTTTATATCAATATAATTATTAGACTAACCAAAAAACCTAAAAGGGTAGAAGGAAACCTTTTCCATCCCAGCTTTAGAAACAGAAGTAGTATTGAAAAAAGAAAAAGTAAAGCTAAGCAAGAGGGGTGAAGATGGATAATTAATTCCGATTGTGAGCATACTTAGTTGTGATCTGATCTGTATTTACAATCCTATGTCATAGACAGTACGTGAAGCACCAGAATGTGACAACAGTAGATCCTAACCTCCAAGTATGACAAAATGCTTTTAGAGTTAACCAAAAAAAAAAGGATCTATTCCTGCTTCCATAGGATCTAGGATCCTGGACAATTTAACATAGTCTGCTTTATGGGGGAGAATCAGTGCGATGCTATGTTCAACATTTAGTAGGTGCTCAGTAATTATTAGTTTCCCCTCTATTTTCCCAAATATTCTAAGACCACCACCACCACCTGCCCCCCCCATTATTGTAGTTTGAGAAATCAATCTTAATAAGTTGGTTAATTGCTTACTCTTTGACCTCAGTGGTGAACTTGGGCTCCTGTTTCTTGATGGTAGTGATGAAGGGAGAGAGTGCAATTGGGAAATAAAGGTCCTGACTTCGTGTTTGAGAAATTTCAGTGCTGGAAAAATTAAGATTATGATTACAAAAATTATATTGCCTAGTGTTTTTGAAGGCTTAGGTGGAACTTTTATGCTTGATTTATACGATGATTGAATAAACTAATCCAAATATTGAAGGGACATGTAAAAAAGCAACCATAATTCCAATTATGGAACATGATCTTAAATTTCTGTGAAGGGCTATGAAGAATTGAGAGTTTGTTAATTTGAGAAAACTCAGTATGTTAATTTTGGGAAAGCAATAAATTGGAAAAAAATCGGCTGTGAATTACTAAGAACTAATCGATGTTAATAAGTAACATTTTAAGCAAGATTTGCCAAATTTAAGCGGTGCTTATGATATATATATATATATATGATCTAAAATATATATACATATATATATATGCACTTATGTAGAAGTCTCACATCTGTTACAGGTTCTTATGAATTTCGTCCCACGATGACGTTGCTTTTCTGAAGTCTTTAGCACTTTTTCCACTTACCTAATCCTCTGATTAATTTGTATTTTCTGGTTAAAGAATATCTTGTTCTTTGCTTAGTCCATCTCCCTTGTCGACGCCACTCTCAGTAAACTTCTTGGTGGCCAAAATGGCTTTAAATCTTTTTGCATATGTAGGCTTAATCTAATATGGAATGGGGTAATTTCTTACTACACCTAAAATTTATAGCTTCACTCTTTTTATAACTTTTCATATTGAGGAACATATGGCGGGAAGTGGAAGCTTTTGATGAAGCGCGTAGACATTCTTGTCACTTCATCTAACTCTTAGGTAATTAACGCAAAGATGGCAGAAGGAACTCTTTTTGTCTTATTTTGACATCCCCCCCCGACCGCTCCCGCCCCCAGCATAGCTCAAAAAGCCAGCTGTTCACCCTGGGGCGGGGCGGGGGTAGGGGAGTGACTCTGTGATCATAGAGCTGGCGAATGCCGGGGTAGAGATGACCGGAAGTTGTTTTTATTGCCCCCCCCGCCCCCAACACACACATCCCAGGGGCCGGATCGGGTCTCCGCAGGTTCAGTTTGGTTCCCACAGCTGTCAGAGGCTCCTATTCCGCCCGAGGGCTTGGTAGCCCTGGAGTGGGCTCACTCCGGTACTGGGCTCACTCCAGTACTAGTGTCTTCTGGAAGCCGAGTGCATTACTCGGTCTCTTAGCAACGAAGGACAGGCCGCGGTTTGAGAGAGCGGCGGCGCAGTCCAAATTGCTCAGGCGCTAGCCGGGACTCCCGAGCCCGGCCCAAATAGGAGCCGAAAACCAGAGCTTGGAAGAATAAGCAGGAAATGGCGGACGAGGCGTTGTTTTTGCTTCTCCATAACGAGATGGTGTCTGGAGTTTACAAGTCCGCGGAGCAGGGGGAGGTGGTGAGTGCTGCCACATGCGCTTGAGGTTCTTTTTCAGTGAAACTGTTTTCCCTCAGTTCTTTCCTTCAATCCCTGCCCCTCCGCCACCCAACGCCTCCCGTGGCGTAGGCAGCTGTTCTGCCGGCAGGTATCCTAAGTCCTCGAACCTGTCAGCTGTCTTCGGTCTTTTAACTTCTTTCTCGTATCTTCTACTATTTGGTACTTTTTTGTCTCTTCCCATATTCCCATACCTGTGTCCTGCAGGCCGCAGATTTTTTTTACTTTTAGTATTGTCTCTACCATCATTTACGGCAGGGTTAACTGCAGAGCTGATTTGGGCACCCCGTACTTCCAGTCCTGCTGAGCTGTCCACTGCACAGCCCTGATCCAGCCTGAGAATCCTGTCCCTCCCTCCTTATGCCTAACCCTCAACCACTCCACGAAACTCGAAGACAGAAGCCTAATAAGAGTTGAAGCCAAAGGAAAGGAAAGTTTGCAGGCGTTACTATAATTAGGAAAAAAATTAATTTAGAAAATTTATTTAGTGCTCATTAAATGTCAGAGCTAGTTCTAGGTCCTGGGGATGTAGTAATGAGGGAAACGATGACCCCATCCTCTTGGGGATTACTCCTAATGTGTGAGAGTCCTCATTCACTCATTATTCAGTGTGTATAGTAGGCCCGACACTGCTAGATTAATAAGATAAACCCCAGCCTCAGTTGTTGAATGATTGGAATTCAATGAGTAATTAAGGTATTGGGTTGTAGTTAGGTATAAAATCAAGGAGTTGTAACAGATTTTATAAAAGATATTCCAAAGTCATGTTCAAGTCAGAAGGCCATTCTATAATGCTGTTGATAAAGAGGAGTGGATTGTGGGGGTAGGAAAAGCATCCTAGGCAAGGTAAAGACACAGAGGTATGAAAGAATGTGATGTATTTAAATATGCTTGAGCGTTTCACTGTGACTAGATTGAATGGGTGGAGAGCGAGAATTGAGAGCTAAAACTAGAATGAGCCTTGTATGATTTGGACTTTCTTAGTGGAGGATTTTAAGAATTTTTAAGGGAAATATGTGGCCCATTTGTATTTTAGAAAGAGGGGCTGGTTTGGAGAAAAGATTCTTGTAGCGAAAAGGTCTGTTATTGCAGGAGTCCAGGCAGGAGATGATGAAGATCTGAATTAAGACAGGAATAGAGAAAAGAGGAGCTAACAGGTTTGAGAGATAGGAGGTAGAATCTATAGGACTTGGTTTGGTACAGAAGTGAGAGTTGAAAATTATCCCCAGGATTTTAGATTGACCTGCTAAGTTTGATGGAGAGGAATAATGGAGAAGAAAGAGGTGAGAATAATGAATTATTTTTGGACAGGTTGGAATTTTGAGATGCCTGTAGGACATCCAGGAAAAGGTACTGCCAGTTTGTAAGCTACAAGAAGGATAGTGTCTTAGTCCATTCTGGCTGCTATCACAAAATACCACAGACTGAGTGGCTTATAAACAACAGGGATTAATTTTTCACAGTTTTGAAGGCTGTGAAGTCCAAAATCAAGATGCTAGCAGATTCAGTGTCTTGTGAAGGTCTGCTTCTGGTTCATAGATAGTTATTTTTTGTGTTTGTCTTCACATGGTAGAAGGCTAGGTAGCTCTCTGCCGTCTCTTTTTTTAAGGGCACTAATCTCATTATTGAGGGCTCCATCCTCATGACAGAATCACTTCCTGAGGGCCCGACCACCTAATACCATAACACTGAGGGTTAGGATTTCAATATATGAATTTTGGGGAGACACAACATTCAGTCTATAGCAGACAGGCATGATGCATTTGGAGATGTCATTAGGAAGACATCAGGAAGAGTATTGGAAATGAAGCAAATTCTATTTTCAGACCCATCTGTAATAGAGATTTTTTTTCCCCGCGTTATAAAATTTTGACTTTATCATCACCAGCAACCAATAGTTATTAATGTTTAGCATCTGTGCTAAGTAGCAAACAATTGCTGTCGTGCAAAGCTAGCCTTCCTTTTCCCCAAAGAATAATTAGCAACACACCCTCCACTCCCAACGTGTACAATCAGTTCTCTTAATTTTCTCTACTTTCCAACCCCCTTCCAACTCTTGCCCAGGAACATCACCTTTTTAAAAATCCCTCTTTTTCCCAATGGATTAACCAAAAAGAAAATAGAGCTGTTATAATCGTGATCATTTTAAGAGGTGTGCTAGTCATATAAGAGAAAGGAAATCCATAAGTTTTGAATCATTTAAACTAAAAATAACTTTCTTTTCCTATTGCAGTTGTTTAGTATAGGGAAAAATGTCAAGAGCATATAAATAAAAGTGATTAGAATCCAGAGGGTTCATTGTGTTAGTGTCAATATTTTGAGTATGCTTCAGATTTTTCATAATAAAAAATGTGAAAGAAAGACACATAATCCTGTCATCCAGAAATGTTTTTTGTATATCTTTTTGACATAAAGTCATAAGTTTTGAAATAACATAAAGGTAAGAACCAATGTTCTCATCCTCTAAATCAAAGGATAGGTTTTTTTAAGAAAAGTTAATGGATAAAATATTTTCAAGTTTAATTTTTCTTACGAATTTAGTGCTTGCTAATAATGAACTCAAATGCTAATGTGAATAGTAAGTAGTAACATTAGAAGGTGTTTACTAAGGCTTAATTCCAAAAGCGCATGTGATCATGGTTAAGATTTGAGAATATCTAGATACATAAGCATATTTCCTGCTAATTAGTATGTTTCTGGGCGATTCTACAAAGCAAATCGCTCTACAAACAGCATCATGATTTACAAGTACTCATTCCACCTGAACATGTTTGGGAATGAGTGTGGAGAATAACAAAAATCAAGGGTAGTGATATGTACAATAATAGATGTATGTGTAGAGTGTTATGACAGCAAAAGGTCCAAAGGAGTATCAGGGAAGGTTTCCGGGGGGATGTGATGCTTGAGCTGCTTTTAAAGGATGTACAATTTTGGAAACAGCAAGTGCGAAGGCATGGAGGCAGAGGAAAGAATGGCACTCTGGAGTTGCTTCAGAAATTTCACAGTAGTGGAAGGAGGATGTTTGTGTATATGTGGCTGTTAGTAAATCTGGTTAACTAGCCAGGGATCGTTTAAGAAGAGGCACATAATGCTGTGCTAATGAGTTTGGACTTTATTTTGAAGAAGGGGGTTGCCAAAAGGTCCAGTTGAGAAGAACACAATTTGCTTTTTAGAAAGTCTATACCGCTGCCCTGACATCTTCTCTGGGACACTGCTTCCCTCATCTCCAACTTAGATGCCTACGTTGTTCTGCCACACCTATGACAAAAATAGTTGGTGAAGAAAAGGGAAGGAGAAATTAATTGTGAAAGGAAAAGATCACAAGAGAAAGAGGCCAATATAATCTCAGAGGTCATCAACTATGATTTTTAATTCAGGTTTAAAAAAATTAAAAATGAATTATCTTAACATCTTCAATGAAAGCATATCTGAAATACCTAGTTGAAGGTTTCATATGGAAAAGGAAATGTTAGTAATAAATATCTATAAAATGGTGTCCAGGAGAATCAAATGTGAGGAAAATCATGTTATAAAAATTCCTAAAGGTACAGGGTTTGTCATTGAGAAATAAAGACATTTGGATCATGGTTGTACAATCTAAGACTTTCAAGGACTTTTACATATGTAAAAGTGTTATATTTATTTTCTGTGGTTCCAGGGAGAAAACTGGGATTAATAGGTAAAGGATAAATTAAAGTTAATAAAAATATATTTCATCCACTAATAACATCAAAGAGTTCCAATAGTAATAATCCAATGTTGATGCTCAGTGGATCCTGGACTGCATTAAAAATGCTTCATATACATTAGTTCTCATAGGAATTTATTTTATATAAGTGAAAACATGGTTTAAATTCAGTTGCTCAAGGTCAGACTTATTTAACTGGTACATCCAGGAATCAAATCTCTGATAAAATGATCCTACAGTCCATGTTTCTAAATGAAAAGTAAAAAGATTATTCTAAATATGAGTCATTTAAAAATAATATAGTATTTTCTTAGAAATATGGTGATATGAGCCTGTGTTTCCATTATTCATCACTTGATAAGCCCTTCACGCTTATCTATTAAAATTTTTCAATTTGTGAAAAACCGTGAGCCCATTGAAGAAGTTGGATGTATGTTAAAGACTATCTTCATGTGAAGATGCATGTAAAGTTCTATCTTCAAATACACATTCGTCTAGTTATTGTATATATGAAGCAAGATGAGAAGTTAAGAAGGATCAGATGAAAACTTCATTTCCTGAAGTATTTTTACAGTGTTATGAGAATTAAAAGCAACATTAACAGAACACCACCAGTAATTTCTGGGAGAGAAAAATAACTCCACTTGGCACTTAACTGCTCCACAAGCAGATTTAGTTGGTTTTGGTGTGACATCATGTAGAACACCTGTAGCATCCATCATTGCCTCACTCGTCAGATCTTTTACTGATACATTGTTTCTCCATCCTTCATCACTGTTGTGAATTGAAAAGCAGCATTAACAGAACACCACCAGTAACTTCTGGGAGAGAAAAATAACTCCATTTGGCACTTAACTGCTCCACAAGCAGATTTAGTTGGTTTTGGTGTGACATCATGTAGAACACCTGTAGCATCCATCATTGCCTCACTCGTCAGATCTTTTACTGATACATTGTTTCTCCATCCTTCATCACTGTTGTGAATTTGTAAAACCACTTAAATTTGCAAATAATTGGAAGTAAATATCATATTGGGTAAATAAACTGCATTGTCATTAAAAAAAAAGTATACCAGCAATATATAAAAAAAATCAAGGAGAGAAAAAACTAGAGACAAGGAGATCAGTTGGAAGGCTCTGACTGAAAACCAGGAGAAAAATAAGGGCAAACTTAAAGCAGTAAGATGGAGCAAGAAGATGCATTTTGGGAAGCATGTAGACAATAGGCTCCACAGGACTGGACTGCAGTGCATGTGGAGAGGTTGGGAGCAAAGAGGTAAAGAAAATGGAAGTTTTCTTGTTGGAGTAACTAGGTGCTGTTAATGAAGTTAGGGACTTCTGGGGCAGAGCAGGCTGAGGACTTTAAGATAATGAATATCATGTTGAATATGCCTAATTTGAGGGCCCTGTGGGACCTCTAGATGGCTATGTCCAATAAAATCACTAGAAATACAGATTTAGTAGTCATAGGCTCGTAAGTGGAGTACATGGTTCCTTAGAAGAAAATTCAGCAAATAATGAGGCCCATGGTGGGAGACAAACAGGCTTCAGAATATATAAAAATCCCTGCCTTCTTGGAGCTGTAATTCTAGCAGAGGGTGAGGATGGAGGGACATGGCACTATAAAATTAGTAGAATGTATAGACTTTAAATAGCGAAAGAAGTTCTTTGGAGAAAACTTAAGCAGAGAAGTGGACCAAGGCATCACAATCACTTTTAGAGGGCTTCTTAAAACACAGATTACTGATTCCACACCCACAGTTTCTGATTCAGTAAATTGGGCATGGGATTACAGAATTCGCCATTTTTAGAAGTTCCCATGTGATGCCAGTGTTGCTGGTCTTGGGACACACTTTGAAAATCACTGGGAGAGTTGCTGAAGGGGAATGATGCTGCAGTTTTAATGACGATGGTTAAAGTGGGTCTCATTTGAGATGGTGGCATGTGAGTGAAGACTTAAAGCGAGGGAGTTGGTCTTGTGAATATCTGGAGGAAGAGCTACCTATGCAAGAGCCCTGAGATAAGAGTGCATCTGGCGTTTTTGAGGACAGCAAGGAGACCACTGCAGCTGGAGTGGAGTGAGTGAAGAAAAGTAGATGGTCGAGGTTCAGGAGGTACAGCTGTCTGGATTGTATAGGGCTTTGTAGGTCATCCAGAAGATTTTAGGAGTCTTTAGCATAGGGATGGTATTTAAAGCCTAAAGACTGGATGAAATGGTCAAAGGAAGAGCAAAGCATTCACATGATTCCAGGCACAGGATGGTGGGATCATCAACTTTTATTTAAAGCCTAAAGACTGGATGAAATGGTCAAAGAAAGAGCAAAGCAATCACATGATTCCAGACACAGGATGGTGGGATCATCAACTTAGACACACTGAGAACTAGAAAGCCTGGATGACTCCAAGAGACATTTTGAAACAAGAACAATAGAACTTAGGGACAGCACAAAGAGAATGACTGATAGGAAGAACATCAAAAGTGTTACCAACTTTTATAACTGAGGAGAAAAGAGGAATTGTTGAAAATGTAAAAAAAGAGGGGAAGGGGGAGCGTAATTAGAGGCTTT